CCTTGTGGACTACCTTAGACTGTTCATTTTGAGGCGATTTCATCCGGTTATTTTTGTTTTTTATATTTCCCTTCACAAGTTTCCATTTACCATGTTCAACAGACTTCACTAATTTCCCAGGAGTCACAGTAATGGCATCTCTTGAAACTGTCTTGTCTATATTAGTCCGCAACAAATGCTCATGAGTAGGCTTATTGTTTTCATTGCCATACCAGTCTCTGAAAGAACTAGAAATTCTAGGAATACAGTAGAAATGTAAGATGAACTTAGCATTTACAATTACATTTATCCCACACTCAAACCCATTTTTCTGTTGAAAGCAGTTCATATCAAAGAAATTATCACTAGGTACACCGAGGCGTGAAGCAAGTGTTTTTGCAGACTTTCCATTTACACCTGTTAGAGAATCAAAATGAAAAGCCTCATTACTGTTTCTATCGACAAATAATAAAGACCAGTGAGAACCTGAAGAACTACTTTTCGTTTCCTCACTATTGTTAACACACAAAAATGCATATTTACAAGAATAAAAAGGTGATTTGGACAATATATCGATTACCGTTTCCTGAGAAACAGCAAGCTTTAAACATTGAGTGGTAGCCGGCCCAAAAAAGAGTGTGTCTATATCTACACACTCTGACATTGTGACAAAATATGAGTTTATGATGTCATCCTCTACCCACTTGTCATGAGACTTAAATTCAACAGGGATTTTAGAGAGACTGTTGGCAGTAGCTACATCTAGTTTACACCTTAAATCTCGAACAGAATTACACATTTTTACATTGCTTGATTTTAAGCTGTTAACCTTGGTATTAATAGTTTTAAGTTTATCCGATAGAACAATGTTTTCGTGAATCACGCTGGCTTTCTCGGCATCTCGTTCGATGAGCGTGGATTTCAAGGATTGAAGTTGAAGATCGAGAGAACGTTTTTCTTCCTCGAGGACGTCTTGCGCTGCGAGGCTGACGTTCAGCTCCTTCTCCCTCTGCTGTTTGTCTAGCTCAAGTTTGTTAGACAAAACATCAAGATCATGTTTTGAGAATTCCAGTGCTGAGACACTTTTGTCTAACTCTTCATTGATAGAGTCAAAATTACAAAGTAACTCTGATACTATACTTGTCATTATGTCAAAATTGGTGTCAGGATAATTACATGTAAGTTTATTTAGTTCTTGTGTCAAATTAAAAACAAGTTCTTCTATGGCAGAATCCCGAGTCACATCTGATTCAAAAATAGTCTCACATCCACTATTTAACATTTTGTATTAAAAAAAATAAATACATAAAAAATGTAATCCAGCAAAGTCGGGACAAAAAAACTTGTTTTTGAATATGTTCGTTTAAATGTCTAACTAGGACAGATTATAGAAGTCCCTTCATTATTTGGGTCGAAGACATGCAGTGCATTGATGGATGGCGGGTTGCGTTGGGGTAGTTGCAGGCGTAGCCCCCTCACCAGCCGTAGTTCTAGTGATGCCTAACAGATGGCACAGGCATTCACTTTGTCACTAAGTCCAACAGCTAGTGATATTTCACTATCTACAGTTGGCTGCGGCGCATAAGTAGATGCGCACTGGGACTAATTTGGTGAATGATCAAGCCTATTTTAGTTTTTCCTGATGAGGTTAAATCTAATATTGAGCTGTAAAATCATTTTGTTAACTTACGGATCTTGTTAGCTGGTTCAATATTTAAGAAAATATACTAATATAACTATGTAATGTACTGAAAGCTGTTATAAATCACTGCTAACAAATAAGAATAAAGTTTTTATGCACACCACATTCAACTACGTCCATCCATAGGCACTGTTATTACCAACCCCCTAAGAAGAAAAGCATAGTCATATAAGTCATCATATAAGTCTTTTCTGCAGGTTTATCAATCACCAGTAGAGGCAAAGTATGATGTTTTTCTAGAAATATATTTGTACAATTTTGACAACTGTTTCCCTAAAATAATGGATAAGATAAAAAAAGATAAAAGTAATCAATGGATAACCGATGAGATCGTTCATAAGAAAAATGAAATTATTAAATTGGAAAAAAGCTTTAGGTTAAGTAAAAATGAAAATACTAAGGTACGAGTTAAAGATTTAAAGAAGGATCTGAAAAGATGTATTTTTAACGAAAAAAGTAACTTTTTTGATAGTAAAATTATGAATTCAAAAAATAGAACAAAAACCACCTGGAACATAATTAGAACAGAAGTTAAGAAAGAATCAATTTGTACTTCGAATAAATCTATTATACAATCTGGAAAAATATTAACAGATCCAATTGAAGTTGCTAATGCTTTTAACAAATTTTTTGTCTCTGTAGTTGAAGATTCAGTTTTACCTAAGATTCCTCAAAGTACAGAATCTACACAACTAAATAAAAATTCCGATAAACCGCGTTTTAAATTTCATCCAGTGACGGAACAAGACGTAAAGAAAATTATTATTTCTTTTGAAAATAAATTTTCAACAGGATATGACGAAATTTCCATTGATATCATAAAAAAAATCTTCCTAGTATTTTAAAACCACTTGTACATTTAATAAATTCCTCTTTAATATCAAGTATTTTTCCAAATAAACTAAAGATTGCAAGGGTTATACCAATTTTTAAGAAAGGTGACTTAAATGACCCATCGTGTTATCGTCCGGTATAGCTTCTCCCAATTTTTTCTAAAATATACGAGAAAGTAGTTTACTCTCAATTAGTAGATTATTTAACCATAAACAATTTGTTGGATAAAGAGCAGCACGGTTTCCAAAAAGGAAAATCCACCATATCAGCTGGGATAGAATTCATTCAGTCAATAATAGATTCAGTAGATAAAGGGCAAAAAGTGGTTGGTATATTTCTTGACTTGACTAGGGCTTTTGATAGTGTGTCACACAAAAAACTCTTGATTGCATTGCAAAATTTAGGAATTACTGGCAAAGAGTCTAAATGGTTTGAATCATATTTGGGAAATCGGGTGCAATTTGTAGAAATTGAGCACACTATTAACTTCAACAATTCAAAAAATCACTATAACTATATCCGGAAGTTTAACTCTCAAAATTTAAAAATTAAACACGGAGTACCACAGGGGTCAATTTTAGGACCTTTATTGTTTCTTTGTTACATAAAAGGGCTACCTGACTTACTACCCGTAAACAGTAACGTATGTTTATATGCCGATGACTCTAATATCACTGTGACAGGGAATTCCAAGGAGAGTATTGAAATTGCATCATTTATTAGTCTCTCAATTATTAAAAATTTCCTTGATGGTAAAAACCTTCTTCTTAATTCAAGTAAATCCACTTTCATATCTTTTTGTACGAAACAAGCGAGGGTCAAACTAAAACCAGAAATCTATTTAGATGACAATCAATTAGACCAAGTAGAAGTTACAACATTTCTGGGACTCTTCATTGATGCTAATCTGAGCTGGGACGATCATACAAAACATGTTGTTAACAAAATGTCAACAGGTTTGTCTGCCTTGAGACAAATGGCTAAATTTTGTAAATTAGAAACATTAAAAACAGTTTATTATTCTTTAATTCATTCTCACCTGTCCTACGGAATAAGCATTTACGGAGCAACAACGCAGAAAAATTTAGATAAAATCTTGCGGAAACAAAAAAATGCGTTAAGAATTATGTTTAAGTTGAAAAGGGGTAAATCTGTTAAACATTTATTTACTTCCACAAAAATCCTAACGGCTTATGCTCTCTACATTTTAGAGACTGTAATGTATGTGAAACAACTTGAAAATCTAAATTTTGTAAACAACGTTCACCCGTACAACACCAGATTAAATAGACCGGTAGAACCACCTAATTTAGAATTTTTCAAAAAGAAAACGAAATATATGGGAACAAAATTTTTGTTTCATTTACCAAGGTCATTTCTTGGTGAACAAAACTTAAGTAAATGCAAGAATGACTTAAAGGAATATTTGGTAAAATTAGCCCCATACTCTTTAACCAATTTTTTCGAAAACCACAGAGTTTAGAGTAATTGATGAGTAACAAATCAAATCACTAATTGATAAGAAAATGAACCTTCCATACACATTAATTAATTTACTTTTAATTTAGACGAAATTAGTGTAACTGTTTTTATATATAGGATTATTGTCATTACTATTACTATTTCTTTTTGTAAACATTGACACTATTTGTTGTACCTTTGTGCAAATTTATGAATAAAGAATGTTTGAATTGAATTGAATTGAATATCCGAAACGCTACCACCTATGCCACGAACGCCGCTGAAATCACACCGTGTCACCGTCTCGTTAACGGTAATCGTGTTGCCTCAAGAGAAGACATTAACCACTAGAGATATGACGTCACTACACCTTTAGCCTTAGTCCCTCCCGTGTGCCAATTCCTAAACCTTACCTTCCTAATATAACCTAACCTAACTTCAAAACACATACAGTCACGAGTCCGCAATCCGCATAACACACAAAAGAACTAAAGTAGTTCATAATCAACGCTCAGTTGAATTTATAAATCCCTCTACCTCTTTGTCCTCTTTGTATAAACCTACTCTTTTTCATCTTAGGTTTCTTCTTCTTCCCTAACACCATTCCACTGAGCTATAATTATAACTGGAGGTAGCACTGAATGTCAAAGATGCGTGTCGCCAGCCGCCATGTTTGCGTGAGTCTGGTGTCATAAGAAGCCATATTATTGCTATAACTATTATTATACTTGGCTTAAAATACCTACTTTGTATGGTCGCCATTTCAAAGAAAATTATTAAAGTATTAAAAGTATTCAAGTATGACAAAAATACTCACTGTTATACCAACCTAGTTATAAGAAGCCATGTTATTGCTATGGTAAGAAAACTTACTGCTATACCAACCTAACAAAATCAGCGACACGCTTTTGACAGACTTCTGCCATGGCAGTGCTACCTCCAGTTATAATTTTAGCTCAGTGCACCATTCTCAATTCTCATTCTCTTCTGTTCTTCTCTTCTCTTTCAATGTTTCAATTTCAATCTCAATCGTTCATTCCATTCCTAATTGATTTGATTTATTTCATTCATTAATCATTACTTGGTCAGAGTCAATTCAAAATTCACAGTAAAGTAAAGGCGACTAGATGTATTACAGTAATAAAAAACAAAAAAAATCTTAGTTAATTTGGTTTTTGTGACAGCAGAAAACTTTTTGCACCATTGTTTTCAGGTAAAAATCTAATGATATAAAAATAGTTTCTAATGATAAGCCTAGGCCTGATAAGCCTATAGGCTAGTAATTTTACTATGGTACCGGTACTCTTGGTCACCCTTTCCACAGTAATTTCCCTTAGTTCCATAACAAGTGGTTTACAGACAAAATTTCATGAGTACCATTTCATGTAGCCTAACTTTGTATTGGCCTTTATGTAGCTTTAACCCTCCAAGTGTCCATAGTTTAGGCCTTAATGTCCACCTATTTTTGGCGCATTTGCAAGGTTTTATTAAAACGGATCTGAGAAGCTTAAAACAATGTTAATTCTAATGTTCTATATACCATTTTGTTTAAAAAATCATGGGCTTCCATATCATACATAAAACATAAGGAATAGATATTTGTTTCCAAAAAATTTTTTAGGTAAAAAAAAATTATTTTAGAAAAATTGAAAAAAAAAATAAGTTTGCGCTCAATGAAATTGTATAAATTATAGGCCTATAAATATTTGAAAATAGCCACTTTGTTCTAAATTTAATGAGGATTACAAATATATAATCATATAGTGAGGTAAGTTATCAAATAAATAAGTTATGAGTGAAAAACGGATTTCAGTACATAGCGTTTAGCTAAGAATGCATAGCCTAACCATAGCTAGGAATCTGGCTGATAATTTACATCAATATCACTACCTACTTCATCAGGATCATCAACCAGCCCTTCAAAATCACTTAAATCTTCTTATAATGCACCACGTAGGCTATATCACTACTTTTGATTTTTAACACTAAAAGAATGATAAACGTAATAAAACACATCAGTCATCGGTCCGAGGATAACCAAGCTGTTTACGAATACGCACGTCAGCTGTCTGCTACAATTACGATCGGCTCGGAGAACATACAGCGCTGAGACAGACCTCTGGAGAAAGCTTAGAATATAATGGAAAGAACGATACCTAACTCGATCCAGTTCAATCCGATTCAGTCAGTCATAGAGCCTTCGCCGTAAACGATGTCGAAAGTGCGCCGAAAAATCGACGCGTGACACTACACAAAGTGTGTAGCGCGTCGATTTTTCGACGATGGATGCTTGGAGGGTTAATTTGCTTATGTACCTACCTTGGCCTACGGTACCCTTAACATGATGACTGCTGAAAACAACGTATAGGCGCTCCCCAGTGGCGGGCGAAGCCCCGGCACGCAACCGAATCAGCGAACGCAATTGGCATTCAAATATTTCATTCTGACGAATCACAAAAGAGCAGTGGTGACTGTGCTGCGTTACCCCGAGAGTGGATGTAGTTCACTGAAACACCCAAAGGTAGCAGCACTGGACGGATCCGTATCCAGTGTCTTTGTAATGTGGGTTGAAGAGAAAAAATCCCCGAAACCGGGACGAAAGCATTGCCAGACAGGATTTTACGGGAAATTTTAGTACCAACCTACACCAAAGTAAAGCTCGCATTCTAAGCTGGCAGGCTGGCATCGATTATAACGTCTCCGTCTGAGGCTAAGCTCACACTGACTCAATATATTTCTGTTGGTCTGGTGCCGACTTTTGTCGGTGCGCGCCACATTGAAGTGCTAGTGACGCCTACTAGAGTCGGCGTTAGTAGTCAACGTGTTAAAAGCTATTCACAGAATTGTCTTTACAGGTCTCAAGTTGCATTATCTGTTGAGGAAGAGTTCTCAGTGTTGCATCCTATGTTGATCGGGCCTACATAGCCTAAAACAGGTAGCCGAAATTATAAGTTACCTATTCCATTAATTTTATCAGGCCTAACTTACTTATTGACCTAAGTTAAGCTCTAACTCTAGCAGTGGCCAATATTAGAAGTGGGGGTAAAAATTTAGGACCCAGACCCCAGCTTAAAAACACTTTCTGAAGTGTGAAATTGTGTAAAAAGTGTATAAAATGAAGTTTTGGAGGATAATAATTGGGGGAAAAGCAATTCCAGTCCCAAATATTGACTGGAATTTAATAAAACCGACCCTAACAACAGTTCATTTAAACCTCAATATAGGCCTACACCAATTTTACACAATTCCACACTTTCAAGAATGTTGGATTCACTATATCGACGTGAAAAATTCACAAGGAATATGCACTCGACATATAATTTACTATTGTCTCACTCAAAGATAACCAAAACCGACACGCACGGAGAGTACCATGTCTTTGGTTTGCCGATAGCCAACCAGCAACTAGCCTATCCAACGAAAATTAAAATCACTTTGTCCAACAAATACATATTTTGATAGGTATCCACATATTTCACCACGAATCACCCCGTTTTCTACATAATGTCCGAACACAATTTTCCGACACAATCAGAATGAAAATAAATCACAAATTTGAGCTACGTCCTCCTGTGTCTCTACTTCACTTTGAATTGAACTAGGCTAACAACATGGAGTCATGGAGACAGTTCTAAACAAAACACTAACAACGAAACCACCAGCCAATCAGATAACTACACGAAAGAAATCATCAGCCAATCAGAAATCTGCACAATTACATCATCTGTTGATCTGTTTTACCACAAACAATAGCAATGCAGTTGCAGTGAAAGGTTACCGTACCACAATTACCCCTAGAATCCCCTCAATTTAACCTGAATTCCCTCTGTATTTCTCGTAAAATCCCGTTTTAATTACAAAGTACTGCAGTTAAGATTTCGACATGTAGATCTTATGAACACTCACTTGTTGAGGAAAAAAATAATTGTTGATTATGAAATGCAACTGTTCTAAACTAACCAAACCAACCAAACTTGCTATATGATTACATGAGGAAAAAATAATTATTTATTATGAAATGAAACTGTTCTAAACTAACCAAACCAACCAAACTTGCTGTTTGATTTCCAGAGGAAAAAATAATTATTGATTATGAAATGAAACTATTCTAAACTAACCAAACCAACCAAACTTGCTGTATGATTTCCAGAGGAAAAAATCTATTATATTATTAAAGTGATACAATCAAATTTTATGTAAACGGTTAAGGCCATTTACCAAATGAAAATATAGGCATATGGCACATCAAAATGAAGCTGAAGGTGTGTAGATTTGCCGAAAAGTATTGATATGGACGAATTTCCTAAGGGCTCTGCTGCACAGGCTAATTTTCAAAGGGCTACGCCTGGCATGGTTCCTAAGTGTACATGATTTAATTTAATTTAGTTAGTAAAACAGCTTGTCAGTACAATAAACTGGCGTTTGTTTATTTACTCAAAAAAGATGTTTGTGACGCTTTGTAGATTTAGGAGGGTTATGATTGGTTTTAAAGAAAAGTTTGTATACGGTTTGTAAAGAATTGCTCAAAGATTTCATTTTGTAATTTATATAGTAAGCTACGTGTAAAGAAGATTGACTAAAGTTGAAGAATTATGGTAAAACATGTCATTCGTGTAGCATCAATATGAAGCAATTGATGCTATTGCTACACTAAGGTTTGTTGTCATATTCTTTTGGATCTATTAACATAAAAAGTAGGGTTTTGAAGTAAGCAGGTTTACACTTTTAAATCAGTTTATATTTTCAAACTAAATCATAAAGTTTCCGTATTTTAAAACACACATCAGAATTACTTTAATAGCTCTCTAGGTCACATTTTCTTCCCGTTGTAAAGCACAGGTATAGCAGCTTGTAATTATTGATTATGAAATTAAACTGTTCTAAACTAACCAAACCAACCAAACTTGCTGTATGATTTTCAGAGGAAAAAATAATAATTGATTATGAAATGAAACTGTTCTAAACTAACCAAACCAACCAAACTTGATGTATGATTTCCAGAGGAAAAAATAATTATTGATTATGAAATGAAACTGTTCTAAACTAACCAAACCAACCAAACTTGCTGTATGATTTTCAGAGGAAAAATAATGGTTCATTATGAAATGAAACTGTTCTAAACTAACCAAACCAACCTAAATTGCTGTATGATTTCATAAATCGGTTTTATAAGAGGACTCGTTACCCAGATATACAGCCAAACAGTAAAGTACAAACCATAAAACTAAATAACAAATTCACAGTAAATAACCCTATTAATAAATCAGATTTTGTAGACACCAGTGTATCCAGTGACACCAACATGAACTACCTACTGTAAACACGATAAACGAGTACCTAACAACTTGTGTTGGGTGATTCCATAGATTTGTTCATTTAATTATTAATTCCATACTCCTTGATGAGTTTGTTTTCTCTATGTATTCATAACATATGTCTGCAGAAATATCGATATAGATTTGGTTCGATATATCGTTTCTAAAATATTTTAATTTTTCAATGTTTAAACAAACATGGAACTAGGTTATGATTTGTTTATATGTTTTATTGATGTTTTGAATGTAAACATTCAGTTAAGATCGGTGTACGTTTTTATGAACTTGAATAAATAAAACTACCAATATTCAAACAATAGCTACTTCCCTGTAGGGAAATTTGCCAAAAGAAGGCTGAAAACTTAACTTCACGTTTTTAGAGGTAACTTTAGGATTGGCTATTTACACAGGTGATAGATGATGTTAACTTACACCACTTTTTAATGACCTGTTAAAATATTTTCAAAGCCATTTTTGACTAAGTTTAAATATATAGGATAAAATAAACAAACAACATTATTTTTACTTTATTATTGTTTTTATTTATATCATATGGTACAATACAATTCTGATGGTCTTCCTGTCTCTGCCGGCTCTGCTCCTCGTCGTTGGCTCAGCGGCAAAGGAAAGTACCCATTTATACAGACTAATTTCCCATTCTTGCTGGGTAATACCTATTAATTACCGTACCCTTTTCCCCGCCGAATTACCCTTCTCTTCCCATGATTAACCACATTTTATCTCCCCCACCCAAAACCCCGAATTCCCACCAACCCCCTAGTGAGTTGGGATTATTCTTTATATATTTAATTAATAATAAAAGGAGTTCTCGGCGCCAAAAAATTCTTTAATAAAGTTGTAGTATTGATGTCCTAGAATAGTTTAAAAAAGATTTTAGAACGCTTAAGCTGGGGTCTTTGTCCTAAATAAGTACCGAAGTGGGGAATGGCCAACCCATTTTGGCGATTTTGCAGACCTTTTTTTGAAAATCCGTAAAAATTCAACCGTACAAGTAACTTAAACCTAAAACATTATATTCATTTTGTTCGGAAAGAACAGGAGAATCTAGAAATAACTTAGTAATTTTAATGATTTAGACAGTGTATTTTTTCGGTAAAGTGGAAAAAGTAAAAAATTATAGTTTTATTTTTTGAATACAACGCGATAACTTATCATGTAGTTTTTATATGTCTACAGTACTTAACTTAGCCTACAGTAACTTATTTTTCCCGCTGAATCCAAAAATAGGCCCTACAATCAGTTTTCGTCTGAGAGATTCCTAAGTGGCCGTAGGCCTACAGTTAAATAATTAATATTAAGCCTCAGTTTTGTTGAGTTATTCACATACTGTATTTGTGGTTTGGACGAGTCCAAGTCCTAGTGGCGAAAATAACACCACAAAGATAAAAGGAAAGGAAAAAAAGGAAAGTTGAAAGGGGAGGAAGGTTTGTCGAGTGGAAACAGCTGTCAGTTGTTTACATTCGATACTAAACGGACAAAACCAAACACGACGATATGAGAGCAAAATCAGAACTACAATATGTATTAATTAGATTTGTAAAAGCAAATGGACTTTAAAAAGCAAATGGCCAACTGTGATACATAAATTATTAACTTAATTACAGCAACATAAATTAGAAACAAATTGAATTTACTCTCGTAAAATACCAGTAATAGAAGCTAGGCCACTGCCGATATGATCGTCCTCATTCCAACCCTCAACGTTGTCTGTTAATGGACGTAGCATAGTGCATAAGGTAAAACTATCGACCTCCAGTCAACGCTTTAAACATTTTTTTTCAAAATGTTCGTTTTTTAGTGCTGATTCCAAAAATGATATTCATTTTTTGCGGAAAAGTCCCGTTTTCCCGGGAAATGGGAAAAACGGGAAAAAATTGTTTTTGCTCAAAACCCATGTTGTGGGTACTCAAATTGTGCAGAATCGCACGACGAATTCAACGGTATACTGCTCAATGCGATACGACCACTAATAACCTCAAAAACTGCCACCTGTGAGCGGTTGGGGTATTTTCTATATTTGGGTTGGTGGAGTAGAAGTGATCCATTATTGAATCAACCGCTTTTGCAGTTTCTAGGTCCATTTGATTGGTTTCTACATCATTTTCGGACGACATGGCTAGACCTGGCGGCAGGTCAGGTCCAGCCGATGGAGTGTGTGTGGGGAACTTAAGAGTTTTTGGTTAGTTACAAATTAAGGAATAAATGTTAACCAACAACAGGGGGAATGGTTGTACTAAAAGGTTAGATTAAAATAAACCTACCTCATAGTTATGCAAAATATTAGCCTATTTAATTTCCTTGTATCAGCTGTCTGAAAATGTGAAAATGCAGTTTAGCAGTTCTCCTTGTTTACATTTAACATTTGTTTACATTAGTTCTCCTTGTGTTACATCTCGAGTGCAGCAAAGGCCTTTTTCACTTGTGTTACACATTATATTTTTCCTACAGTCACTATAAAGCATATAAATAATTAGTCTTTCAAACACTATACAACACGTCTTTAGGTTCAGCTGGCAACACAAATGGTGCCCTAGAGAAAGTAGTACACTCGGTCCGTATCACTCTGCTATTTTTCCTTGGCAAGAAATGTGCTCCGCTT